TTCATGCCGTGGGAGACAAGTCCCTTAATTCGCACGACGGTGAGAAAAGACTTATATAGAACGAAAGAACGTATTGAGAAATCCTGACTGTCCGAGCGAATTTGGCGTCAATCAAGTTAATATTAAGCGATTTTCAGCCTTTCAAAAACACGAAGAAATGTATTAGCCATTCCGCATTCTCGTACCCAGACCCTACCTTACGGCCTTTAGCGGCCTGTCGTAGACTCTGGGACACCCTGTAATTTCAAGCCACATGATTGGCTAATTCAAATAACAAACGGACAAGATTGTAATCGCGATAAAAAATTCAAATATATGTAATTTAATTTAACAGTAGTACGTTTTTTTTCGTACATATTCCTGCCTATTCTGTCCTCTTACATTAAAGGAGGTGAAATAAAAAACTATGTCATCATTCTTTGCGACATCGAACTTTGGTACGAAAAATGACTTGAATCAAGGTAAAAATAGGTGTCAAGTAAATGATATTTCTCGCTGAAGCACGCATCAGCCGGGATTACGACAGCCGTCTTAAACTCACTTGACCTCACGGACTTATCTCACCTGTTTTGTAAGCAAGATCAAACCTCAAAAATTGCCATAATTCTCAATGATTTTATGAAGACAACGACAAAAAAATTTCAGAGTACATACAATGATAGTAGGGGAGCGATTATAGAATACCCGTTCACCCAAAAAAGCTGTATAACTTAGTGTAACCGCGGTCCGCAGTCGGTAGTGAAATGAAGTCTTTAAAGAACGAGATATATTCATAAGCAGGGGCGTATTTAGACTAGTTCAACTAGTTTCCGGAAACTAGTGAGATTTTTCAAAAAAAAAATGTAGTTGAAAGCGATACTTCAAATAAAATCATATAAACGAAAAGAATATGGAGTATTCACTGGAGTATTCATTCCCAGAAATTCGATGCAGTCAGCGGTTCGATGTAAACACGCGGGCTCATGTATTAGTGAAGCAAGGACAAGGGATTTTAACAGCATAAAAGCGGTTTTCTTGCCAAAAATCCACTTATATATCTAATTTTATGCTCTCTGAACTGTAGTTTCTCTTTGTATTTAAAAAGCGACGCCTTTCTTTCATCTGACATATCTTCTTTGTATTGTTTCGATATCCCCGCCAAAATCTTTCACACAGGAAACCCGAAATGCTTATTTTGCTAGAAAATGCCTATTTTGCTACATGAAGAGACATGGGGGTCTTGCTACATCACGGGCGTTGATGGAGGCCCAGAAAATCTTCGATTCCAAAGGTCAGCGGAGTACATAGTGACACCGGAAGTTCAATAGACAGACTGGCGTGATGCATTCCTCCAGTGCTCGTCGTCATTGAACAATTATCAAATGTAAAAAAGACATGTCAGATTAGTAGTTTTGCAATTTTCGTAAAATTGTTGTACTCATTTTGTCATGAGTTTTTCCAGCGGATGAAAGATTTTCAGTAACTCTGTTATGATTATAAACCATCATATTGTCAATCATCGTCAATATCRACAGAACTGTATAAAATTGGGTATATAGATCGGCAAATAGTAAAAGTGACCTCGATGATTTCTTTTTTTTTTTTTTGAGAGAGAGAGAGAGAGAGAGAGAGAGAGAGAGAGAGAGAGAGAGAGATTCTTTCTTGTAAACTCTACAAGCGTTATTCACAACGAGGATCACTCGAAAGATAAAGGCCACAAAAGGTTCTCTCAAAAAGGTAAAACAGTGCATTGCTTTAGGTTTATGTTATGCACATAGTTTTTTTCGAGTCTTGTTATTTGAAATTTATTGAGGTGCACGTGGCTGTCAATGACTTCAGTGCTATAATTGGCGATAGTGCCACTAATCGATTTTGATCGATTATGACTAAGATGATTTAATTGACTTGTCAAAAATACTACACCGCAAACTTCAGCGTATTCCATTTAAATTCCTGCGAGCATTATATGTTTTTATTATATGGCTTAGATAGTACGCGCGCTCTGATTGGCTGTTGACAGATAATGACCGGTCGGAATTTTCCTGTAATKCCYGCTCRCAGCGGTCATTATTTTTCGCGATTAGACCAGCTTTGACTTTGAGTAAGACGAAGAAAAACACAATTTGAAACGCATTGCAAAACAAAGATATCCTTTTAGTTCGTTTACGAAAAAAATAAATGTTTGAAAATTTGTTATTTGCAAAATGACAGACAACGAAAACTACAGTCAAAGTGAATTTATTTTACATGTAAGCTTAAGTTCTTGACGAGATTACTGCGAAAGCCGACAAAATGGCTACCAAACAGACGAAAACCATTATATTTTTAGTACCGACGAAAATGATCAAAATCATTATATTTTTAGTAACTGTCTGCAAAAATGCGGGAATAATGGCTCCTTATTTCATAGATTCAGTTAATTTTCATGCACAAATACATTATTAGTCTACTCACAAACTTTTCAATGATTCTTCTATCGACAAGGCCGGTGTAGGTTTGTTTATTAATTCTTCGATGTGGATGTCCCTCAATATTGAATTACAATTTTCTTCTCTTTCTCCAGCAACCGAGGAGTTATTGCATTGAGCAATTGCAAAAGTAAACTTGATAGACGACGGTTATGTCCCAAGTGAAGAAGTGCTTGAAAGTTTGCCTGTTTTCAGCTGTTTTCATTGAGAAAGCTTGGCATTTKAACGAGTTCACACTGACTCAAAATTCCTTCAACTGGACTTCCAGGTTTTTGMTCTTTTTTTCTAGTCAACGAGCTCATTGAATTTTTAAGAGGAGCCAGGATTTCATTCTCAGCTTTTCTTGTCAAGACACCGGTTTGAATCCCTTCGGCTTTTCACTTTTGTTTTTAGTAGTCTGTAGAGGAATGTTCTGGCTTCTTTTGAGCTTTTACATCTTGACACATCGTTTTTTTCTTCCAACACAATCCTTTTTGAGCTATCTTTAAATTGTGGTGAATACTTATCGAGCATTTCTAAGCTGTCTTTAGACTCAGTCATGCTTGCCGTCCTCATGAGTAACCAGTTGAGTCAACCACTTCCCTCGCCGTTCATACATCAAATCCAAGTGCTTTTGAGTAGCATTTTCGGTGGAGCTAACATCGGCAAAATATCCGACTGGCCGTTCAAAATTTTCAAAGGTACAGTCAAGATCCAATAACGGAAAAATCGAGAGTGACGATGAAAATTGAACATTCGCTAAAATCACTGCAAGGTCTGCACGTGTTGACGTTTTCAATCGTCTTAATTTTAACGTACTTTCCAACTATTTTTACAAACTTTTGGATGTTCTGAAACTTTTTAAGCTAAATTACCGTGTTTTGTGGAATAAAAACGGTTTTGTGACATAAATTGTGCTATATTAAACACATTTTCAAACAAATTGTTGTATTTTTTCGACACTGGACATCTCTGACTGGACATGACATTGAATGAACAAATGCGCGCGCAAGAGGAAGTGTTAAATCACTTCCGTTCTTTTATTTTGTTCACGTTATATATTTTAYWTWTTTTTYAYTAAGASAGCCATRTAATAAATAACTTATTAACCTCGTCCGTTCGGTCATTACAGGGAAATCTCAGACCGAGGTCTTGGAAGTATGGACCTCGCTATCGCTCGGTCCATACGTCCAAGACCTCGGTCTGAGATTTCCCTGTAATGACCTCACTCTCGGTTAATAAGTAGTATGTCATATTTATTATTGTTATCATTGTCATTACCATCATCATCAGTTTTTAACGGTAGAGAAGATGTAAGATATTCTACTAATTTGTGTTTTTGCTTTCATTCCTTACTCAAGCCAAGCCTGTATTTGAGCATAATAACGACATCATTCCAATTCCTTTTTTGGACACCCTTTCTCAATAATTAACAATAAAACAAGGCATTATTGTATACATGRATCGGAAAAGATAAAAATATGAATACTAAACTGGCTAAGTTTCTGCAGTTCTGTTTTAATGTTCTCTTTTCTTTATTTTATCTGCTCTTAGTCAGTTTATTACATGTCTAACATTTTCCATTTTTGTAMACTTGATCGAATATTAATCAAGCCAAGGARAAGACATAAATTGAATAAAAAATACTAATATACTCTAGACTGAGATGCCAGTATTCATGCACATCACATCTTTACTGGTTACTGGCAGCTTATTCATTAAATTATGTTCTGAAACTTTTTGCATCACGCGTATCAAGATTCTCTGCCTGGATCACTCACGCCAGTTTGTCTATTGAACTTCCGGTGTCACTATGTACTCCGCTGACCTTTGGAATTGAAGACTTTTTGGGCCTCCATCAACGCCCGTGATGTAGCAAGACCCGAGACATGGGAGGTTACTAAGGTATAAACAGAAACAAATGGCGTGCTAGATCATGTAGAAGTACGAAATGATCTCTTGTTTCTGCTCAAAAAAATCGACTTGGACCTTCGCATTCCACAATCCGAGAAGTAAAAGAATGGCAATTCTTCGAAGGAAAATGGAACCGGTTTAGGTCAAGTTTTTTTATGTTTTTTTGGCACAGAAATGTAGCTTAGTATGTGTTCTAACGAATAAGATTTGTGGGGATGAGAAATCTGGTAGTTAAGACGTAATGTTTCAAGTCCGAATTGGAGGACTTGGAACGACTTCAAATCCTCATTAATTATTCGGGAGGAGAAAAGGGCCGAAAAATATTAAAAGTCTATTGGAATATATTGGTTATATTTGCTMCTTCATGCAGGATTTCATATTTACATCATTGAGCACTATTTATTGTTCTTCAATCCTCATTTGGGCATTTGAAACAAAAGCTATTCAAATTCCCTGTCTGCTATTCATTTTAATCCTAATGAACTTATTCATAACATTTAAAATCATTTTATCTTCCAAGATTTTTCATCGGATAGTGAGTGGTGTAATGGTTTAAGGCGTAGGGCATAGATCAGAAGGTTGGGAGTTCGAATCTCAAGATGAAATTTATCATAGATTTTTTTCACTAAATTCTAAACTTAGTTTACTATTTCTACTTGTTTAAAAGAACTTCAATAACTTGGACTTTGAAATTATCTGAGAAATTAAATCAGCTTGGAGAAACTGGAACAAAATTAATTCAGTACGGAGAAACTGGATCAAAATTAATTCAGTACGCCTAGTAACTTCCTCCGATTTCCAGTTACTGCACGTGGTATGAATTACGAACAAGGATTGGCTAGGAAATCCTAGAGGGTCGTATACGGAGCTTGTGACAGACAGGATTCCTCTCCGCGTAGCTGGCTTCTCCTTAGGCATTACATCAAAGATGAACTTGTCTGCGTGCATGTCCCATTTTAGACCCAATGTCCTCTCAACCGGAAGCCTTTCCTTGTCCATGTCGAGATCGAGTACCTTCGCCGATCTTTCACTTTCAGGGATGGATCCTATCACGTCTGGGTCATTACTTAGCCACTTGGTCAGTCTAAAGCCTCCCATCGATAGCATGTCTGTAAGTTCTTTTACTAAACTTATAGCTTCCTCGCTTGTCTTGACCGACTTCAAACAATCATCTACGTAGAAATTGTTCTTAACGGTACTTACAGCTTCATCAGAGAATAAATGACTATAGTCATGAGCAGTTCTTTGCAGCGCATAACTAGAGCAGCTCGGTGACGACGTTGCGCCAAATAGATGTACTTCCATGCGGTAGTCGACAGGATCTTTGCTGAGGTCATCATCAGGCCACCATAGAAACCGGAATGCGTCATAATCAGCAGGATTTACTTTGACTTGGTGGAACATGCATTCGACATCTGCTGCAATTGCGGTTTTCTCTTGACGGAATCTTGTAAGTACACCAACAATGCTATTTGTGAGATCTGGACCGCTTAGGAGTTGGTCGTTCAATGAAGTGTTTCGGTACTTCACGCTGGGCTGGGAGCCAGTCAAATCCGGCGCTTTTAACTTTCTCGAGTCCGCACGATTTTCAGCGGTTTTGCGCTAGAATTTGCTTGTCAAAACAAGATGGCGGCGCGAGCGTATGAAAAAGTTTTTGAAGCGATGGAGGAATTTGAGGCCGAAACACCTGTTTGGGAGAGGAAAAAAGCGGCAGAGATAAAAGCAGAACTTTTAGAACTGACAAGAGCTGTCCTGAAAAAGTATTCATTAGCGGATGGTGTCAAAAAGACAAAGTATTTTCTTGCTCAGCCATCAAGAATGTTGAAAAGAGAGTTGGAGCAGTGGATTATCTTATGTCTCCGACGAATGAAACCATCTCCGAACACAAGAAATCCATGGAGAATTAATTTTTCAAGGAATATGCCATTTGAAGTATTTGATGTGTTGAAGGTGCTATGCGAGTCCTYACCATGTACAAAGAAAGAGACAAAGCACAGGTGCAAGTTTATATTTACATCTGCAGAAGATATCCTAGAGCTGATAGACAAAGCTGGTGTGAAATCCCAGACAGAGTCCCAACCACTATCAAAACATCTCAAGAACAAACATTATGCAAGCCTCAGCTGCAGAGAAGACAGACCATTTGAGATAGTCTACTCATTCTCTAAAGAAGTCATATCCGTCACTTGCTATTATGGTGTTTGGAATGCATTTGGTATCCCTCAGCATGTGTGAATTTACATGTTTTTATAAGTTTCCTGTGTAAATTTATAGTGTATTTGTCAGTATTAGCTGAGGAAAACCAAATGCATCATGTATAGTTCTTGAAATGTTTTGATAGGTG